ATAGATTTAGAGCTGGAAGGGACTTAGCATCTAGTCCAACTCTCCTTTACAGATGAGGAAACAGACACCCAGGATGGTGAAGTGATTTGCCTGAGTCTATATAGTGTCAGAGGCAAGATCTGAACCCAAATGTTAGGTCCAAAACTAGAACCCTCTCCACACTTCTCTAGATAAGTTTTCGTAGTCAAAGGGAGACTGAAGTTTCTCCAAGTACCAAAAGGAGAAGCAACATCAAATGCTCCCCTACTGCTCGCCATAGGTCTGTACATTGTGGCAGAGCAGCAAGGGATATGTAACCCAGAGACGTGGACAGGTCAAGTGAGGCGTCTCAGACTGCCTTGGCCCCCACTCTGCTAATGCTGGCTGTCAGGTTAAATATAGTTTGTTTTCTTTCTGTGCCCTTGTTTTCACTCCTTCATCCCTATGGGGGAGGGATGGCAAGCCCCCAAACTCAGGCTAGAGGGGCAGAGAGCCAGAAAAGGCAGCTGGGCTGCCATCCAGATCCACACTAGGGGAGTAAGAGGAAAGCAAACCTGGGTCAGAACCTTTCCCCTGGGCCGTGGGATTCCCCATGCTGGCTTCCTTCCGGCCTCCCTCCAAGTCAACCTGCCACAATCCTACGTCTCACATACTTTCTACTATAGAGACTTTCAGTAAGATGCAAACTAGTACAATAGAAGGAGCAAAATACAAAAAGAGATAAAACAATGCTGTCATTGATGGGAGGACCCTTAGAACCTAGAATATGAACGCAAAGAGTGAGCTTAGAACATCGAATGTCAGATCAAAGGAGGCTTAGAACAGAGAATATGAAGACTGGAACGTGGCTTACCACACACAATGTCAGCCCTGGAAAGGGACTTGGAATATGGAATCTCAGAGCTAGAAGGGGGCTCAGAAGACAGAACGTAGAAGTTGGAAAAATGGCTTTAGAATGGAGGATATTAGTGGCTCCCTACTGCCTCCAGGATCAAATACGAAATGCTCTGTTTGGCATCCAAAGCCCTTCCTAACCCAGCCCCCGCCTGCCTTTCAGCCTTCTCACACCTCTATCTTCAACAGGTACTCTGATCCAGCGACATTGGCCTCCTGGCTATTTCATGAACCAGACACTCTATCTCTCAGCTCTGGGAATTTTCTCTGGCTGTGCGCCATGCCTGGAATCCTGTCCCTCCTCCATTCTGACTACTGACCTCCCTGGCTTCCTTAAATCCCATCTTCTAGGGGAAGCCTTCCCCAACCTCTCTTAATTCTAATGCCTTTCCTCTGTTAATCATTTCCTATATATCCTATATATAGCTTGCTTTGCATGTATTTGTTTGCATGTTGTCACCCCCCCCATTAGATTGTAAGCTCCTTGAGGGCAGGGACCATCTTTTGCTTCTTTTTGTATCCCTAGTACTTAGCACAGTGCTGGGCACATAGTAGGCTCTTCATAAATGTTTATTGAACTGAATTGAATTAAATTGAAAGATCAACTAACCCAAATCCGTCATTTTACAGATGAGGAGAGTGACTTGCAAGTGAGAGGGGATGTGATTCACGAGGCAGGATGTTCAGCAGGGGTCCACATCCAGAGTCTTCTTTTCACTTCTCTCTCTGTCTCTGTGTCTACCTGTCTGTGTCTCTCTCTGTCTCCGTGTGTGTATCTCTTTCTCTCTCTCTCTCTCTCTCTCTCTCTCTCTCTCTCTCTCTCTCTCTCTCTGTGTCTCTCTCTCTGTCTCTGTGTGTGTATCTCTTTCTCTCTCTCTGTGTGTCTCTCTCTGTCTCTGTGTGTGTATCTCTTTCTCTCTCTCTCTGTGTCTCTCTATCTCTGTGTGTGTATCTCTCTCTGTCTCTGTCTCTGTGTGTGTATCTCTCTCTCTCTGTGTGTGTCTCTGTCTCTGTGTGTGTATCTCTTTCTCTCTCTCTCTGTGTCTCTCTCTGTCTCTGTGTGTGTATCTCTCTCTCTCTCTCTCTCTCTCTCTCTCATCCTTCGGGGTGGAAAGATATTGCTCACTTTTCAGAATACTCATAGCTGCCAAATAATCACTAGATCTCATGACCTTTGTTGCCTTTCTAAGCTCTCAAATTTTTTGATCCTATCACTGGAAGGACAGAAGAATTTCTATGAATCCCATTGCCATTCCAGGAGTCATGAAGTCCCAGCACGTGCTAAGCACTTGGGACACAAAAACAAAAATAAAATAGTACCTGTCCTCAAGGAGCTTATATTCTACAGAAATAAAATATATACAACAAACATAACACATGCCATCTTTTACATATATGCACTTCTCTGTACATATTTTTAGTCCTCTACAGACCATTAAATTCCTTGGGAGGTAATGTGGCCAAATGGATAGAAAGATGGCCTTGAAGCCTGGAAGAGATGGGTTCAAGTCTCGCCTCTGACCCATCGTGGCTGTGACCGTGGACAAGCCCCTCACCCTCTCTGTGCTCTAGGCAATTCTCTGAGACTATGAGTTGCAGAGAAGATGCCAACCTGCATTAGTAGAAGGAGTTTCCTCCCCTGGGAGTTCCCTATACCAATGAAGTCATAGACCCAGTCCCTGTGCTGTTTTCTTACAGCACAGTAACATCTCTGTTCCCCAGAAAACTCTCAGTAGGAGTAGAAGTAGTTCTTACACTGGGAGCTCCTTAAACGATAAAATCACACATTCAGTCCAAAAAATGTAAAATATATGATCCCTAGGAGAGCGATTCCTACTAGCCATGGCGAGAGCCAGGCAGGAGGCCCTCTCCTATCCCCCAGTGGGCTTCTGGTCCAGCACATGAGGATCACGTCCGAGGGTCACGTCCAGGCCACATGGGCCCTACCCAGTACCAGCTGCCCTGGCCACAGGAATGCCAGAAAATGGATTCAGTGACCCATACATTTGATCCTCTGATCAGTGTGGACTTTCCAAAGAGGATGACACAGAAGCAGGTGACTAATACTCCCAAAGTGTGGGAGAAACAGTGACCCTCTTTCTTGAGGGGAGGGTACAGTGGGGTAAGGTGGGGGAGGGGATCCTTATGAAGAAGAAGAAAGGAAGATGAGCCAGACACATGCATGTGAATAAGGCCAAAAATGTGTCTTGACTTAGAAAACATTTAAACTGGTATAAACACAGCAGTTTGGTGGAGCCCAAAAGGAAGACATGATAATGTGGGCTTAATCTCAACTCTGTCAAGTGCAAGGTGTGGAACCTTGGGGAAAAGTCCTGGATTAGGAGTCAGGATCATAATAACACCTAATTCTGGAGAGCAGTAAGGCTCCTAACCCATAACCACCCTGTGAGGTGAGTGATACAGTCATTATTCTTCCCATTTTAAAAATGAGGAAACTGAGGCATAGAAAGGTGAAGTGGCTTACCCATAATCACACTGCTGGTCAATGTCAGGATTTGAACCTGGGTCTCCTGACTCCAAGGCTAACACTTGTTCTGTTTCACCATGTTACCAGATCCCTAGGTTCTAGTTGAAGCTCTGCCATTGACTTGCCTTGGACACTTACTTCATTTCTCTGGGCTTCAGGTTCTTTATCTATAAAATGAAAAGAACAGGTGAGATGGACAAGTAGGCCCTCCCAGCTCTGACATTCCATGTTCTAAAGGCCCTCCCAGCTCTGACATTCCATGTTCTAAGGGCCTTCCTACCTTGGATATTCTCTGTTCTAAGGCCTCTCCTGTTCTGACATTCTATGTTCTAAGATCCCTTTGGGTTCTGACTTGAATAGTTTATTAGTCTCTTCCAGTCTTAATATCTGATCCATCCTTCATTTTATAGATGAGGAAACTGAGACACAGAGATGGAAATTACTTGCCTAAGGTCCAGGTAAGGTCTCTTGCCCCATACCCTGTGTTCTATACCATGTTCTATACCATGCTTCTACTTGTCTAGGTCTTTGGAGTGAGGAAGTTAAGAGATGAATCAATGTGGCCTGGAAGAGGCTGCCTCAGTTGGTCCTAATCTCTCTGTCACTGGAGGGGTTCCAGATGAGATTAGATGAGTGTTTGTTACCTGTGATACAGAAGGGATTTCTGCTCAGTTACACAGTTTTGTTTTTGTGAGGCAACAGGGGTTAAGTGACTTGCCCAGGGTCACACAGCTAGTCAGTATCATGTATCTGAGGTCAGATTTAAACTCAGGTCCTCCTAACTTCTGGGCTGGTTCTCTATCCACTGTACCACCTAGCTGCCTCTCAGTTACATATTTGATGAGACACTCTGAAGTCTCTTCCAACTCTGAAATTCATAGTATTCTGTGACGATGGGTTGGTATCAACCAGCCACGATGTCCCACAATTCTAGATGTAGAGCCTGACTGCAGAGCCCATCTGGGCCAAGGATTCTTAATTTGGGACCCTCAAAGACTGAAATAAAGATATATGCAAGTTCCCATCCATGAATTTGGATAGGGTTATTTTTTTTTAAAGAAGTACATCTTTATTTCAATATAATTGGTTTCCTTTGTAATCCCATGTATTTTATTTTATTTTATGCATTTAAAAGACAGGTAACCATAGGCTCTTCCAGTTGCTAAAGGGGTCTAGGACACACACACACACGAAAGGTTTAGGACCTCTGATCTAGCTCACTCTTCTCATTTTACAGATAAGGAAACTGAGGCAGAGAGCAGTTAAGTGATTTGCCCTGGGTCACCTAGATAGGAAATATTCGAGGTGGAATATAAATCCAGGTCTTCTTGACTCTAACACTCTACCCAGAATGTCATGACTAGTCCCCAGACTTGCGTTCATGAGGGCATAAGTAGAATTAACCCACTGAGCCTAGCTGCCAAGGCGGTGGTCCAGGTGAGCAGGGCATCTGATTTCCAAGTGAAATCCTGCTGCTGAATGGTACCCGGACAGCCTGTCCTTGTTTACGGCCCCCATCCCCTGAGAACAGCGATTGCTCAGTCTGGCATGTGATAAGGCCGTTGCTTTGCAGGGAGGAAACTCAACTCTCCCGAAATCCACTCCCCACCCTCCTCCCTTCCCCCCTTCCCCCACAGCCCCTTGGCCAATTTGGGCATCGGCATGCCTGGTCAGTCCCTTCTCCTACAAGCTCATGTGACCCAAGGCTGGCTATAAATAGCCAAGGAACTGTGAACAAAGACAGAATCCCAGAGTCTGAGAAGAGCCGAGAGGAAAGGAGCAAGGCAAGAGTCTTTGGAACTTGGGGCGCCCACTCAGTGCGTGCTTGTGAAGCCAGAAGCTGCTTCCCCCAAGGGATGGATTATAAGTCAGGTCTGATTCATGATTCGAACCCCATGGAAAACCTGGAGAAGCAGTTGGTCTGCCCCATCTGTTTGGAGATGTTCACCAAGCCCGTGGTCATCCTGCCCTGCCAGCACAACCTATGCCGAAAATGTGCCAACGATATCTTTCAGGTCAGTGCTTGGAGGCCCTGAGAACCACCCCCTACACCCTTATCCCCATATAAAGCTTCCTGAGACTTTGGGGCCTAAACTGGCCTGGCTCCACGTGCTAGGCTCTGGGTCATCACAGTTCTTCTCTAGGAGGCAGCATGGGACACCAGACTGGAGTCAAAGGAGCCAAGGTTAGCATCTCAGCTCTGCTTGTATGAGCTTGGGCCGGTCACAACTTCTCTGGGCCTCAGTTTCACCCTCTGGAAACCGAGGGGGTTGGACTAGATCATCTCTATGGTTTCTTATGTCTCTAAATCCTACAATCTCCTACTGCTCCTATCACTCTTCCCACTGTGAGCCTCCTATGGGGCCTGGGAGGGGGTAGGGAGACAGTTGGCTACTCCTGCCCTTCTCCATGATGCAAGATTTTTTTCCACTAGTGCTCCCCCTAATCCTTTCATCCTCCCCCCTCTTTTGATAAGGTTGTTGACCAATGAGTTCCAAGAGGCAACTGATTTTAGTAATAAAGGGGGGAGGTGAGGAGAGAGGAGAAAGAAACCAGACCCCTCCAGCTGGAGCCAGCTCCAGGGTGGCAGTGGGCCCAGAGCCCTGGGGTGGCCGGGCGAGGGAGGGGCTGAGGCAGGGGGCAGGTGATCAGGAAGGCAGTGTCTTCCCCAGCTAAGGGTTCACAGCTGTTCCTGAAATGAGGGGGTATCATTTCTCAGGAGAAGGATAAAGTCTTGAGGGTGGATGGATCAGACGCTGGTCTGGGAGAGAAGTCTCCAATTTAGAAGAAAATGATATTAACTAGGTGACCCCTCCTCTATCCTTGGCATCCACAGGCTGCAAACCCCTACTGGTCCAACCGAGGTGGCTCCATTTCAGGAGGCCGTTTCCGATGCCCATCCTGCCGCCATGAGGTGATCATGGACAGGCATGGGGTGTATGGGCTTCAGAGGAACCTACTGGTGGAAAATATCATTGACATCTATAAACAAGAATGTTCAAGGTCAGTTCTTCCCCCATGTCCTCTGGGCTGCTGAATGGGGATGGGGGAGAGGTCTTCTTTTCTTAGTCTCAAAGGAGTCCCTGGAGATGAAGAGGAGAGGTCTCTACTCTCTCTGGCCAAGCTCCTAGGAAGAAGGTTTGGATCCTAGATGCCATCCTGCCTTCTTACCTTCCATCCCTTTCACAAACCTGCATCAAGATTCTGTATCTAGCTAAGCCTACCTCCCAGAGCTCACTGGCCCCAGCTCTAAGGTCTTGATGGGGCTAGTCTAGATAAGACCTCCCTTGCCAGGAGCCCAGGGAATGGAGACTGATTCCCCCATACCCAGGCCCTAGGCATTAGAGGTAAGATGAGAAGGTTGGGACTGGCCAGCCACCCACTTTCTGTGGTGATGATAATACTACTGATAACTAGCATTTATAGAGTACTTAAGGTTTACTTTAAAATACTTTACAAATATTATCTCATTTTTATCCTTGTGACAACCTTGTGAAGTAGGTGCTGTTATTATCTCAATTTTACAGATGAAGAAACTGAGGCAGACAGCAGTTAAGCGACTTGCCCAGGATCACACAGTTAGTATGTGTCTGAAGCCAGATTTGAACTCAGACCTCGGTGACTCCAGGTCCAGTGCACTATTCACTATATACATAGCAGCTGATGCTGAAGAGGGAAAAGGGAGAAAGAGATAAAAAGGGCAGAAGAAATTAAAAAGCTGGAACTTTACCAAATGATGAACCAATTTTGGGAACCTTCTTCCTCAGTGGAAAAGAGTGAGAATAGCCATAATATTAAACTAGGGAAAGAATAATAATCAGCATTAATTTATGGCCTTGTCATTAATTTAGTGCTTTAAATACATTAGCTTTTTTGAGCTTCAGAACAACCCTGTGGGGGAAGCAGTATAAGTATTATTTGGGGAAAAAAGTATTATTGGGCCCATTTTGTAGACGAGGAAATTGAGGTTCAGAGAAGGGAAATGATCTGCTTGAGGCCACAGAGCTACTAAGCAGCAGCTCGTTGACCCTAAGGCAGAATTATGTGATGGGTGCTCCAGTATGGGGGCCCAGAAGTTCTCAGGGAAGCTGCTGTGGTGGCCAGCTTTCCAAAGTCCTCCTTTCCCTCCAGCCTCCTGTCTAAACCCTTAACCAAGGGTCTGCTGGGATGTGTCCTGTTCCAGAGCCCCAGGGCTGCACAATGGGACTCTGGTTCAGCTCCATCATCCTGTAGGAGCTGAAGCATGGTGCTTCCTAGCAGGGCCTCTGTTTTCTGTGTGTAAAGTGGAGATAAAGAGACTCCTTGTAAGGATAAAAGGAGATAGAGGATGGGAAAGCACTTTGATTAAAAAAAAAACTACCCAAATTTTTTAGATTATGAGAGCTAAAAAGGGCCTCAGAACAGAGAATGTCAGAGCTGGGAGGGACCTTAGAACTCAGGATATTAGGGCTGGGAGGGCCCTTAGAATTCAGAATGTCAGAACTGGGAGGGACCTTAGAACCCAGAATTCAGAGCTAGGAGGGACCTTAGAACCCAGAATATTAGAGCTGGGAGAAACTTTAGAAAAGAGAATGTCAGAACTGGGAGGGCCCTTAGAACTCAAGAATGTCAGAGCTGGGAGGGCCCTTAGAACCCAGAATGTCAGAGCTGGGAGGGCCCTTAGAACCCAGAATGTCAGAGCTGGGAGGGCCCTTAGAACCCAGAATACCAGCACTAGAAGGGGCCACAGAGTGTTGGACTTGAAATCAGGAAGACCTAGCTTCAAATCTTGCCCTTTACTAGCTGGATGACCTCTCTGGGCCTGTTTCCTCATCCATAAAATGAGGACAATACCTCCAGTCTCTCCCTTACAGAGCTGTTTCCAAGGCCCAAATAAGATCATGTTTGTAAAGAGCTCTGCAAACCTTAAAATGCCAGGTAAATATCCGCTATTGTCATCAGCACACACACACACACACACACACGTACACACACAAGTACATACACACACACACACACACACACACACACACACACACACACACTCTCTCTCTCTCTCTCTCTCTCTCTCTCTCTCTCTCTCTCTCTCTCTCTCCCTCTCTCTCTCTCAGAACTGGGAATTAAGACCCAGAAACTGATCCCAAGCTGTACCACAAGCCAGTGACCTGACCAGGATTAAGGAGCTGCATCTCCTGGCTCTCTCTTTCCATTTGACCGTACTCCTTCTTGTTAATTATTAGTGATAATAATGTCATACTCCAATGATCAAAAATCAGCCTTTTGACCAGAGCCAAAGCGGGTGCAGATGTCAAACGTGTGTTTGGCCGTGTGCAGCCCACAACACTCCAGTGTGGCCTGAACCAGACTAAAATGTAATCATGAAATGTTTAACAAAATAAATTAATTAATTTAAAAGGAAATACATAAATAGGTATGGATTTCTGAGTCAATATGTGGCTGGCAGGGATCCATCCATACAATTTAGTCATCTCCATTTCTATTTGAGCTTGACACCACTGGTCTTATGGTAACATTGACACTGACTAGAAAGAAGAAAATGAATAAGGCAGGGAAAGAAAGAGGCAAGTGGGAAGGGTCTCTTGGTTCAGGAATCATGGCATCAGCTCTGGAAAGAATGTTAGAAGTCATCCAGAGGCCCAGAGAGGTGAGGTGAGTTCTCCCTTGTCACACAGCAGTCAGGGGGCTAGAACCAAGATTAGAACCCAAGTCTGCATCTCAGTGCTGGCTTCTTTTGTTGCATTGCACAGATTCAGGAGGAAACGTTGGAAGAAGGCATATATGGCAAATACCAAGGGGACAGAGTAGAGGATGAAGGAAGGCAGGCTCCACAGTGCAGTGGAAAGAATCCTGGAGGATCTGGGTTCAAATTTTAGTTCTACTTACTACCTGTGTGATCTTTGGCAAGTCACCTAACCTCTCTCTGCCTCTGTTTCCAAATTTGTAAAAGAAGGGGCTCAGAATAGAGATGATCTCTAAGGTTCTCACCAGCTCTACATCCAACAATCCTCTGAAAGCCAGTTGTAGTAGTAGTCAAAGAGGACTTCCTGGAGGAGAAGGTTTTGAAGGAGAGGAGAGGTATGAATTAATGGAGACAAAATAGGAGGGAATTAAGGGTTAAGAAGTGGGGCAGGGAAAGTCCTGGCCTGGGGAAGGAATCTTTGCTGGGAGGACCCTTTTCCACTTCTTCTGCTCATTCAGAATACCATTCCTTTGCTAGCTGTCAACCTTAACTGTGTGACCCTGGGAAAATCACTTAACCTCTCTGGGTCTTATTTTCATCATCCATAAAATAAGGAGATTGGACTTGATGACCTCTAATTCTAGCTCTGAGTCTAGGGCCTTATGAATATTTGGAGCCCTCTACATCTAATGAAAAGCCCAAGCTGGGTTAGCTGCCCTTGTCTCTGGGAGCAGCAGTGGACACTGGCTTATTTGAGATCAGAGTTCTTGTTACCAGCCACATGGAGACCAGACAATTGTTTGCTCCTGGGACAGAGCTCTGGGGTGGGGGGACCTCTGGGCACTCCATGAGCTGCCCTGAAGCCCCCAGGGCCAGAGCAGGGGGATGGGTGAGACTTTGAGCCTTTTCTGGGAGGGGCGGGGCAGAGGTAGTAGTACCCCAGTGACCAGTCTGGGCTCTCCCCTCTAGCCGGCCCCTGCAGAAGGGCAACCACCCCATGTGTAAGGAGCATGAGGATGAGAAGATCAACATTTACTGCCTGACCTGCGAGGTGCCCACCTGCTCCATGTGCAAAGTATTTGGGGCCCACAAGGCCTGCGAGGTGGCCCCACTGCAGAACGTCTTTCAGGGCCAGAAGGTAAGAAGGAGCCTTTATAGCTCATGCCTCATGTTGCTGATTGGAGCTCAGGGGATGTGCTGAGCTGGACCTTTCAGGAATAGCCTTGGAGGGACTTCCCAGGGCGCTGGGAGAAGCAATCTCCCCACCTCCCTCTAATCGAGGAGGGAGGCCTGAGGTCACTTGTTATATTTACTGTCACTTGAGAGTTACAGGGTGTGGCCCTAGGGAAAAGCCAGACCCCAAGGGATAGGGCCTCTTGCCTTCCCCTCTCCCCATGGGCCATCTCAGGTCACAGGGCTATTCCTATAGTAGAGAGTGGGGGAGGCTGTTTTCCCTTCTAACCCACCCAATCCCATCTCCACAACTACAAGGTCCCCTCCAAACCTCTCCTCCACTCCCCAGGACTTCAGAAAATGCCATTTTCTTATCCCTGGGACAAGTTGGGCCCATGGAGAGGGGCTGAGGAGAAAGCCTCTACCTACTGTCCACCAGGGATACCTTCCTTTTGTCTTCCTCTCTCACACACCCTCTCTTCCTCCCACATCTTTACTTATTATTCTTTTTCTCTTCTTTTCTATCCTTCCTGATTCTAGCCCTGGCTATGCTACTAACTAGCCATGAAGTCATAGTCACAGGATTTCAGAGCTAGAGGAGACCTCGCTGGGCCTCAGTTTCCTCATCTGTAAAAATGAATAGTATGAACTGATTGATCATTGAGGTCCCTTCTAGTTCTAAGGTTCTGTGTTCTAAGGTCCATTTCTGCTTTAATATCTCACATTATTATTTTTCCTTCTTTTTTATTCTTTGTTATAAGAGACAACTCTGTCAAAGTGGGAAGGATATATCTGGGAATGAAGGTTATGTAAAAATAAAATATTCGAATAAAAACTTCTTATACAAGATGAGCTTAACAGCTCTAATTTGAATATTCAATGATTCTATGATTCCTTTTCCAGGCTTAAGCCTGCCACTAATCCCTAGAAATAGAGAGGTTCCCAATCCCTTTGGGGAACCCTCCCTAAAGGAAAGGGTTGGAGACTTGGAACAAGGGTATCCCCACTTCCCTTTGTCTCGTGGCAAAGTAGAGGTTAAATCTATTTTGGTCTCCCCTCCATCCTCCTTATTCAGACAGAGCTGAGCAACTGCATCTCCATGCTGGTAGCTGGGAATGACAGAGTGCAGACGATCATCACTCAGCTGGAAGACTCCTGTAGAGTTACCAAGGTGAGGAATGGGAGAAACGGCTCAGCCTGGGGAAACTGGAGCCACCCACCATAACCCAACCCTCCCCCTCTCCAACTCCAAATGGCCCCTAATGGCTCCTCCATATGTCACGGTTAGAGGCCCAGTGCCCACGACTGGTTGGGCAGGTGTAATAGATGTGGAAATGAAAAAGAACTTGGGACTTAGAGTTGGAAAAGAGCCCTTATTTTCCAGATGAGAAAACTGAAACCCAGAGGGGTTCAGTGATTTGTCCGAGATGGTAGCAATTTACAAATGGGTAACTTTTTATGGGTAGCATGGGTAGCAATTTACAAATATGGGATTGGAACGCAGGTCCTATTGATTCTAAATATACTGCTCTTTCCAGTCTAATACTCTATGATTCTGTGATTCCTTTCTCTCTGTCTACTGCTTCCTTGGATATAATCAATTCTAGCATTGGTTTTTCTGAGTGAAATTGAACTAGCTATAAAGGAGCTACCAAAGGGAAATCAAAACAAAAGATTGGTCCAGAAGGAATTTATTAAATGATTAAAAAACAATTAATACCTCTACTATACATATTATTCTCAAAATTATAAAATACTGCTACATTCTTTTTATGAGATTCAGTATAGTACTAATACCTGAACCAGGAAAGAATAAAGCGAAGAAAGAGAACTATAAAGTAGTATCGCTAATGAATATTAAATTTTTTTAAAAGTTTAATGAAATCTTAGTAAAAAGACTACAGTATACATTTTTAAAAATTATTCAAGATGAGAAAGCATCATGGATAGCAGAAATGATAGATGACCTGTGGGATCAGGTTGGATTTATACCATGGATAAAAGAATAGTTCAAAATTGGAAAACCATTAGCATAATTGTATTAAAAACAAAACCACCCCAAACACTTGTTTCTCTGAATCCCATTAGGGTTGGAATCCAGATTAGAGAGGGAATTAGTCAAACCTTGACCTGTCCTGGAGTGCCCACCCTGGACAGCAAGAGCTCTGAATTGGGTGATAATCAGCTAATTAGAATAATAATAAATAATAATAATAACCATATAATTACAGCTTATATGTCTATTCATTTTATAGTTTCTAGAACACTTTCCTCAAAAAAAACCCTTTGGGTTAGGGTAGGTTCTTTCTGGCTATAAATCTAGGATCAAAAGACTATAGAAATGTGAGCTAAGAAGAGAATAAGGAAAAATCCAGCATGGGATTCTGGAGTAAGGGAATCTAGTCCCCCAGAGGAGGTGACCCCGAAACTCTCTCTGTTTCTCCAGGAGAATAGCCATCAAGTGAAGGAGGAACTGAGCCAAAAGTTTGATGTCCTGTATGCCATCTTAGATGAGAAGAAGAGTGAGCTGCTACAGCGAATCACTCGGGAGCAAGAGGAGAAGATCAGCTTCATTGAAGCCCTGATACAGCAGTATCGGGAGCAGCTGGAAAAGGCCACCAAACTGGTGGAGACAGCCATCCAATCCATGGATGAGCCAGGAGGAGCCGCCTTCCTGATGGTGAGCAGCTGGCTTCTCACTGTCTCGTCAACCATCAAAAGATCAATAGCATGTCAGAGCAATATGGAATCTTAGCGTATAGAATGGCAGAGCTAGGGGGGATGTTAGAACATAGAATTCCAGAGCTGGAAGGTGCCTAAGAACATAAAATGTCAGAAATTGAAGGGAGCCTAGGACATAGAATGTCAGGGGTGGGAAGGGACTTAGAACAGAGAATGTCAGAATTAGGAGGGCCCTTAGAGATCATCTTGTCCCATTCATCCTTTACTGATGAAGAGACTCTAGGTCAGAGAAATAAAATAACTTGCTTAAGGTCACACCATGGATAAGGATAAGAACCAGTTTGCAGACCCCAGTCTCCTGAATCTTAGGCTAGGGCTCTCTGCCGCAAGCAACTTCCTTATGCCCTTGTGGGAAGATGAAGAATCATGGATAGAAGAAAGGATAGATAACCTGTGGAATGGGACTCTAGTGGGTCTCCCTTCTGCCAGGAACCATGGAGGCAAGGGCTTGTCAAACATTAGGAGTTCCCAACCCATTCCTTCAGGATCTGGCCAGATTTGGGACTTTGTAACAGGGCTTGGGGAGGGTGCCAGGGAAATGATTTTTGACCCACATGCAAAGGGAAAAAAACCAAGAGATTGGAGACATTCTTCAGTTCTGGTGCCATAGCTGGCCCAGGGAAACCCAGGTTACTAGGAAGTCTTTGGCTCATGGGTACCCATCTTTAGAGCATCTGAGTGCCCAGTCCAATGGCTGAACCTCTATCCAGACTTAACCCTCTGCCTTCTCTCTTTCTTCCCACAGAATGCCAAGCCACTGATCAAAGCGTAAGTATTCCTTGAGGGTAGAAATTCAGGGTTTTGGTGCCCCAATCCTCCAACCAGCCTAAAGGGAATTCCCATTCTCTCCATCCTAACCTTTCCTGATGAATTCTGTTGGGAGGTTCTGTAATTCCAAGGCCCTGGAATATTTTGCTTCCTTTTCCCCCCCGATCTCTAACTCTGGCTTGTCTCCATTATAATAATAAAATTATAATAATAATAATGGAGGGGGAAGGTACCTTCTATAATAGAATGTCAGAGCTTAGAAGGAAAACTTGTAGAAAAAAAAAGCTTGCAGAAAACAGAATGCCAAGGATTCATGGCATCTTAGAACTTAGAATGTTAAGGCAGAGAGGGGAATTGATCAATCATTCAGCAAGCCATTATTAAGCACCTACTATGCATATGCCAAGCACTAGGCAAGGTGCTGGGTATCATAATGGATAGAGCTCTGGGCTTGGAAACCTGCCTCAGATTCTTACTAGCATTTAAACCTTGGGCCAAGAGTGGAGAACCTGAGGCCTCAAGGCCACTTGTGGCCTTCTAGGTCCTCAAGTGCAGCCCTTTAAATCCAAACTTCACCAATTTTGTTTGGATTCAGTCAAAGGGCCACACTTGAGGACCTAGAGGGCCACATGTGGCCTTGAGGCTGCAGGTTCCCACCCCTGATTTTAACTCTTTCAACCTCAGTTTCTTTAGCTATAAAATGGAGATAATATCACCCACCTCAAAGGGTTGTCATATGGAACAAGTGAGATTAGATAGATAGATAAATAGATAGATAGATATTACTAAAGTGCTATATAAGCTATATATTTAGCTCAAAGAGCTTACATTCTGTATAAGTAGAGCCTATATCAGATTGCATGCCATTTTGTGGGGGGGAGGGAAAGAGAGGGGGAGAAAATTAAAAACTCCAAATCTTATGGAAATGAGTGTTGAAAACTAAAAATAAATTATTTTTTTAAAAAAAGAATAAAATTATCCAAAATTAGGCAAAAAAAGGAGCTTACAGTCTAATATTAGGATTTAGAATGTCAAAAGTTGAAGGGACCCTGGAGAATACTGTCCAACTCTCCCATTTTTAGTTAAGAAAACTGAGGCCCAGAGAGGTAAACTCACTTATTTAAGGTCACACAGCAAGTAGGTAGCAGAATCAACACTAGAACCCAGGGCTCCTGACTTTTGGCACTTGGCTGCACATTTTTACAACCGCCTCACTCTCCTGCTATATGTGGCTCTAGGCCAGATCCCCTGGGGGATGGAACACTACCCTCATCTGGAGGTGGAGTGTGGCTAAATATAGAGGGAACAGTAAGGAACAGAGGGAGAAGCCACTCTCACATTTGAGAGAGGTTCAATTTTTTTTTGTCAAGGCAATGGGGTGAAGTGACTTACCCAGGGTCACATAGCTAGTAAGTATCAAGTGTCTGAGGCTAGATTTGAACTCAGGTGTCCTGAATCCAGGGCCGGTGCTCTATCCACTGCACCATCTAGCTGCCCCAAGAGAGGTTCAAAGGGAACTTCTTTCTTTGGGCTCTGGAATAGCAGGAGATGAGATCTCACCCATCACTGTCTTGTCTTCTCCAGCATTGTGGAAGCATCCAAGGGCTGCCATCTAGGCAAGATAGAACAAGGCTTTGAGAACATGGGTTACTTCACCTTGGATCTGGAGCACATAGCAGACACCTTGAGGGCAATTGACTTCATGTCAGGTAAGACTTCAATGGGAAGGACAGGATCTATTTCCCTACCCTACTATAGGAAACCTGGGGTACCAAGAGGCAGAGCTAGGCTGATGGCAGAGGAGAGGTTATGAGAGAAGGAGAGATTTCCCACTACAGGGACATGCCTACGTTCAGAAAATCAGGGAACCTTTAAAATGAAAGGGGCTTCAGAAGCAATCTAGTTCAACCTCAGTACAGATCAGCTGAACAATGGACATCTGGACCCTGTCCAAGGTAGAACAGAAAAAAAACCTCTGGACTGGGAGTCAGAAGACCTCAGCTCTAGTCCAGGCTCATCCACTAACTAGTTGTGTGACCCCAGGTAAGTCACTTCCCCTCTCTGGCTCTCACTTTCTTCTGCTTTAATATGAGGACATTGAGACTAGATGGTATCTAAGGTCCCTTTCAGCTTTAACATCCCAGCTGAATAATAACAACTCACATTTTGAAAGGGCTTTAAAGTAAACAAATAGATTTCTTCACAATGACCCTGTGACATGGATTATCCCTATCTTACAGAGGAAGAAACTGAGGTTTATGAAAGTGTCTTTTTAAAAGCATTGCTAATATTTATATCTAGGTGAATTAGGAGATGATTTTGACAGTAAGAGCAGAGCAATTCTGTTAGCTGGTATAAGAAAGAAGGTTTTGGATTTTGAAATATTCAAATCTGTCTGATGCTTAGCAAGGTCAAATGACCCTTCTGTGGCCACAGAGTACAAGTCTTAGAGCTGAAACTGACATTAGAATCTCCTGACAGAATCTAGGGTTCTATTCACTACATCCCATGGCCTTTCTCCACTCTCCATGTCCATTCTATATTCTAAAGTCTCTGCCAGCTGATATTCTGTCTCTATATTCTCCAGCTCTAAAATTCTATATTCTACATGTTATGTTCTGAAGCCACTCTAGGCGCTGACACTCTGTGATCAAGGTCTATCCCAGCTCTGACATTTTGCGTTCTGTCTCTGCTGTATGGGCCCTCTCAATTCCAACAGTCTATATTCAAAGATTCCTTCCAGCTCTAACTTTCTGTGATTCCTTTCCATCAGAGAAGGTAGATAATCTGTAACTTGAAGGCATTCAAAAGACCTCAATTGCCTTAATTCACCTCTCCAATCCAGCATTGAGCCCTTTAGGGAAAGTCTTTATCCTATAATTTAGAAATGTAGTAACCTTCCTCCTTACTGGACTGAAAAACACTGCAGGGAGGGCAGGTGCCTCATTTACCTTGTGTTCCCCAAAGTCCCTTTTAGTAGAATCATGGGTGACTCAGATTTAGTGTCGGAAGGGACCTCAGATGTTTTCAAACCCGAGCTCTTCATTCTATGACACACTGGTCTTGACACATAGTAAACCCCTATTAAATATTTTTTCATTCATTCTTTCACAAAAGAGGAAAAGCAGGCCTTAAAATATTAAGTGGATTGCCCCAGGTCCCAAGGAAAGAAGCAAGAGTTCCAGGACTGAGCCGACATCCTATAACTCAGTATAAGCTCTTTTATTTTAAAAACATATTTTTAAAATTTTATTGATATATATTTTTACATGGACAAAATTTCCCCCTTCAGTAGATTCTGAATACATGGTTGCTTCATTGAATCAGTGTAACTGAATTCAGGCCCTCCAGGGTAAAAAGTTTTCCAAACATTTAATCTGGTTAGTAAACAGGGTCCAGTTAAGAGTCAAGGAAGATGATCATGGAGATTAGGGGATTTGTTCCCTGTCTTCAGATTCCCAGGAGACAAACCCCTTTCAAAGGAAAGAAACATGGAACAAATTATGTGATCACAGAAAACCAGAGTGGAAACTGACCTTAGCAGGCATCTAATTCAACTTTCCCCCTCGTTTTACAAATGAGAAAATGGAGGCCTAGAGAGGGGAAGGGATTTCCTAGTTACTTCTAAGCTGACCCAGCCAGGCTATGAGTCTAGGAGAGCTAAGAAACTGATACAAAAGTCCCTCACCCAGCTTCAAAGGAGTTACTGAGAAGATAGAGTATTGAAGGTTGGAAGAACAGGGTGAGCAGGACAAGGCGTTCCAGGCAGGGAGAGGGCTCAAAGGCTTGGCTTCCAGGACTGAGCAGAGACACAGAGTTGAGCTTCCAGGGAGGACCTTGACCTCTGAGTCCAGAGAGCATTCTGCCTCTTCTGGCCAGACCACCGTTATCTCTCCTGTGGTTTCAGGGAGTCAAAGACAAACAATGTCTTACCCAAAGTCCCTCCTCAAGGCCACAGCAAGATCAGGTGATAGGCAGTGGGTAGCTCTGAAACAAAGGAATGTCTTTGTGTCAGCCCCAGGTTGGGGTTGGGGGGAGGGGAGGAGAAAAGGAAGGGAGGAAGAGGGAAAAGGGAAGACTTAGTCATTCTCCAGGTGTGCTAACACTTGCTGTTCCCCTTGGACCTTCCTCAGCAAGCTTCCCACCCTCTCCATGCTTCTGGCCTCCCCTCTGGTAAGGAAGCCTTGGATAGATGAACAAGGGTGGAATGCCCCTGCTCGGTACATCTGGAGGTGAGGGTGGATGGATGGAGCAAGGAACCCCAGCCCATTCTAAAGCTGTTGCTTGCTTTTTATCTACAGACGAGGAAGAAGAAGAGTTCATCGAGGCAGAGGGGGATGAGGAAGAGGAAGAAGAGCCCGCTGGAGGGGAAGGTGGGAGGTAAGGAAGTCTGCATTTTTTGGATCTTTGGAGATTGCCTTGAAATGCAAAGCACAAGGGAGAGCTAGGTGGTGCACTGGATAGAGCACCAGGCCTTGGAGTCAGGAGAACTGAGTTCTAATGTGGCCCCAAACACACACTAGCTGTGTGACTCTGGGCAAGTTACTTAATCCCAATTTCCTCCCAAAAAAAGAAAGAAAAAGAAATGCAAAGCACAGATTGGGAGAAACCCTGAAAGCAACTCAGTGCTCCCAAAGAAAAGCACAGGATTTAAGAATTCAAAGAAAGTTGAAGACCACCCTGGCCAACTTCTTATTCAGTAAAAAATATCTTATCATCTAGAGTCGGCCAGGGCTCCAGAAACAGGCAGCTGGCTACCCTGCCAAACTGAAGTAAAGGCAAGAGGAAGGTAATGGGAATGTCTCATGGGAAGAGCAGTCGAAGGAACCAGCTACCTAAGAGGATCACAGATTTAGGGTTGGAAGGGACTTCAGTGGTCCCCAAATCCAACCCTCTCATCTTACAGATGACGAAATTGAAGACCAGTGGGTTGAGATGGTTTGGCCAACATCACACATACAGCTTGTAAACAGTAGAGCCAAGATTTGAACTCAGGTCCTGAGCAAGCTTCCCAATACACCACACTGTTGGCTGAATTGTTAGATTTAGCCTGGAGAAGAGAAGAGTAAAAGGAGGGTTTATTTTCATCACTTCCTTCAAATATTTGAAAGTTAGTTCTTGGGAGAAGGTATAACTCGGGACCGGCCAACGGGAGTCCCCATCTTTTCAATAAGCAGAATGTTTTACCTGCTGCAGTTGTCCCATCTCCCCCCCCCCACCACAAAGCCTGGCCTTAGTGGGGTTATCCCACTTCCCAGCATGCTCTGGAGTACAGAACACAGCCCTCTGTTGTGCAGGCCTGGAATTAGGCATACTAGATCCAGTGGGTGGAAGTTACAGAGAGGAAGGCTTCAACTCAATGTGCAAAAAAAAAAAAATTATGAGAACATGTCCCAGTGTGGAATGGCTGTTCAATAATGCAAGAAGGTGTCCCTGAAGATGCTGACGACCACCTGTGAGGGATGTTGTAGGGAGGATTTCTCTATTGGATGTTACTGCATGATCTTTGGGCAGCTTGGCGGCACGGTGGATGGGGCCATAATGGGCTTGAAATCAGGAAGACTCATCTTCATGAGTTCAAATCTGGCCTCAGACTAGCTGTGTGACCCTGGGCAAGTCACTTAATTCTGTCTGCCTTAGTTTCCTCATCTGTAAAACGAGCTGAAGAAGGAAATGGCAAACCACTCCGGTATCTTTGCCAAGAAAACCCTATGGTTATGAAGAGTTGGACATGATTGAAAAAATAGCTTAACAACAACAAAAATATGATCTCTCAGGCCCCTTTGAGCTCAGACACTATAATCTAAGCTCCCTTCCACCTCTGTTATTCTGAGTTCTAAGGTCCCTCCCAGCTCTGACATTCTATATTGTAAGGTTCTAATGATTATACATCTTGAGGTCACTTGTGTTATTGTTAGACACTTTTATCCGTTACATTTCTAACATTAAGTCAAAATCTGTTTCTTTGTAACATCCACATCTTGATTCTGGTCTTATTCTGTGGAAGTCTAACAATTCTTTATTATCATTATTGCTGACATTTATGTAGCATTACACGGTTACAAAGAAAGTCATGTTTGATCCACCAAACCCTATGAGGTGGGTGGTGCAAATATTGTCCCCATTTTTCAGATGGGGACACTGAAGGCCAGAATTGGGATGTGACTTGCTATATTGGCAGAGCCAGGACTCACACCCAAGTCTTCTAACTCCCGGTACAGCTTTCTTTTCTCCTCAGATACAAAAAACCTTGAGAGTTTGTTGTAACAGGATATGACCCATATACTTGGACTATATCATATCATGTTTTTTCAAAAGGGCACAGGAACAGAAAGGAGAATTTAGGGCATAGAGCACCATGGTAGGAAGACTGAGGAATCTGAAGTCAGAGAAGTTCCAGTTCTGAGATGTCATGACCTGGCCCTCCTACTTACTCCTTGTGTGACAGATCACTTGCCCTCCCCGGTCCTCAATTTCCTCCACTGTAATGTAATATGAGGGGGTTGGATCTAATGATCTCTAGGAACTCTTCTGGATCTAGATCTAAAACTCTGGAAAGATTTCCTTCCCCTCCCCCCACCCCCATTCACCAGAGTCTCTTGCTCCCTTTCTTCCAGGAGTACAGGAAGGAGGCAGGAAGATCTCCAGTGAGAAAACCCAAGCCAAGAGAGAGACAGGAGAAAAGAGGCCTCACCCAGGAGAGGAGTCTTTGTGGCAAGCCCCGAGCTCAGAGGGGAGAAGGATCCCACCTCTGCCAGGTCGCAGAGACTGGACACACCCCATGGCCTAGCAAGTGGCCACTCACCCAGGCTTAGAGACTTGTTGAAACAAAACACACAGGACACTTTTCTACGTTGGTGCAAAATGGAATGTTTTGTACAATTTCTTTTTTAATGTTTTTTTTTGTATATAACTGTAAATGTATATGGATCTGGTGCTTTCTGGAAAAAGACTTTGCACATTGTGCAGGGGAGGAAGGTCATTGTGTGGAATGATTAGAAGTGGTCAGAGATGCTGAGGGATTGGGTACTTGGCAGCTGTCCGGGCCCCTCTCCACACCACTTTCTGGGCCTAGAAAGAAAGAGTGTACTGTACTTTAATGCATATTCCTGTCACACAGGGTACTTACTGACTGAATTTATGTTGCACATTGTTCAAATAAATGCACAGTTCTATCAGATGTTCCTAAAATGGAGGAAGGTGTTCACTTTGTACCCCTGAATGAAGGGTCTGGTTCAGATAGACAGGGGCCTACGGGAGCAAATCCATGATAGAAGCTAGGGGTAGGAGATAAGAGGGTGCATTCATACATGCTGGATGCTTCTTTGATGTAGTAGACAGAGTGAGTGCTGGCTTTGGCATCTGGAAAACCTGGATTCAAATTCAGCTTCTTAGCTTGTGTGAACCCAGGGAAGTCACTTAACATCTATGCGCTTTGGCCAACTATTTGGGATTTCACTTATTAAGGGAGAATCTATTCGGTCTCAAGATTAGGGGAGAGTAGCATCTCACTCCATCCTCCCAACATTTCTTTGAAATAGATAGTGCTATGAGTACTGATGTGATGTGATCATTATCTCATTCACAGAGGAAGTAACTAAGGCTGGAAGCTAAAAGACAAAGGGAGTGACTTGTTAAAGATCCCAAGGTTAAAAAGCAGAGCAGGGCTAATAATAGTGTTAATAACAATAGATGACAATTAGATTGTGCTTTAAGGTTAATGACTGGCTTTACTTCCAACAATCCAATCCAATAAGCATCATAAGTGATTATTAAGTACAAGTAGTTGAGGATACAAAAACAAAAGGAAAAGAATCTCACTTTCTCCCTACATGATCCAGTGAGATCTGTGATATCCTTGATTAAGGTATTCCTCCTAGATTCATTCAGAAGAGCCTGGCCTAACTATTCACATAGGAAAAACTAAGTGGATGAAGGAAACCTGACCTGACTTCATTCATATAGGAAAAACTAAATGGATGAAAAAAGTCATTATCTAGACTACATGATAGAGTCAGGGAATCTATAGTTTGTCTTCCAATATAGATATATCTAGGGACAACTAGGTGCTGCAGTGGATAGAGTATGGGGCCTGGAGTCAGGAAGACCTGAGTTCAAATCCAGCTTTAGACCAGACACTTGATACTTGCCGAAGTGTAACCCTGGGCAAGTCACTCGACCCCAATTGCCTCACCAAAAATATAGATAGATAGATAGATAGATAGATAGATAGATAGATAGATAGATAGAGATATGGATATATATGTATGTAGAATGTACATATATGTATATTAATACCTTGGATAGATACTGAAAACAGACAGTGAGTACAGGAGAGTACAGGAGGAGGAAAGTAGGCTGGATTGCATTTGGAAAACAGTAAAAATTGTTTTAATGACCTCAAGCTTCTCCCTGAAAAAAAAAAGGTCCATCTTTTTTAGCAGCAATATTCTTATTCTGATGTTCTATGGCTGCATCATGGCTGTATCATGTATTATATGTCTATATGAAACAGTCTTCAAGATATGAATTCAGAAATCTCCCTGAGGGCATGGAGTGAGGGTACAGTAGCCATGGGCAGGCTGTAGGACATTGCAAATAAGGAATTAAACATAAGAAGGATAAAGGATGTCATCAGGAAACCCTATGATGGAAAAAGCCAAGTTGCTCAGTGACAAATAACATAATCTGTGTTGATATCTACAAGATGTAAGTAGAAAAGAATTGTCCTCAATTACCATCTTTACTCAGATGATTCTCAGGCCTGTTTGCCCTACCCTCTCTCCTTATCTCCAGTCTTGCATTTCCAGTTGCCTATTAGTTATCTGAAACTGGACATCCTGTAGACATCTTAAACTAAGAAGTCCAGTCTACTACCTCCAGATGGCCCCCGGACATTTCCCAACCTCGATCCTACGTAGATCCCCTTCTACCTCCCAGTCACCCCATCAAGATAACCCTTCTCCCAGCCCCCAACTCCAGTCACGCCAAACTACTTGGCCACTCTTAGATCCCTCCCATAATTTTTCTGTATATAAGGTCCACCTTGTCTCCATGAAGGGGCTCAGATTCTTTAAAATCTGGCCTGCTTGCATCAGCGATACAAATGCTCAGATTCCTTAAGAATCCAGCCAAGGGCTCAAATTCTTATAATCTAGCCAGGTGCTGAGACTTGCTCAAGCCCGCTTGTCATTACGAGCGTCACAAATGTTTAGATTCCTTAAGAGCCTGGCCAATATGGCAGATCTTTAATAAACTTTGTCTTTGGCTGAAAAAATAAAAAACCTTAACATGTCCAAAACTGAATTCATTATCTTTTCCCCTAAACCTTTCCTTGCCCCCTCCAGGGCACTACTATCTTCCCAGTCATCCAGGCTCCTTGGTTTTGAGGTATCATCCTCAAATCCTCACTCTCTTATCCCCTGTATCCATGCAGGTGCCAAGTCCTGCCAATTCTACCTTTGTAACATTTATCATATGTTCCCCCTTCTCTCCTGATGTTTCCACCATCCAGAGTTGGGCCCTCATCACCTCACACCTGGATTATTTCAACAGCTTGCTGGTGCTCTCCCTGCCTCAAGTATCTCCCTACTCCAACCCATCTTCCTCTCAAGTTGTCAAATTAATCTTCCTAAATTGCTAATCTGACCTTGCTACCCTAATTCAATAAACTCCAGTGACTCCTTATCAACACCAGAATTAATTTTACAATCTTCCATTTGGAATTTAAAGCCCTTCATAACCTGGTCCCTTCCTATATTTCTCATCTCCTTATACCTTACATCTCCATGTACTCTAAGCCACTGGGCTCCTTTACTGTTCCTCCTAATCTCCTGAATCTGAGCATATTCTTGGGCCAAACCCCTGTACCTGGAATTCTTTCTCTACTCATCTCTACCTCCTGCTTTCCTTCAAATCTCACCTAAAATCCCTACCTTCTGCAAGAAGCTTTTCCTGGCCCTCCTTAATCTTAACGCCTTTCCTCTTTGATTGTCTCCAATTTACCCTGTGTATGTATGGGTGCGTATGTGTGTATGTACAGAGAGACAATAAGAGAATGAGAAAAAGAGAACTAAAGAAACGGAGAGAATGAGAAAGAGAATGAGAGAATGAGAGAACGAAACAAAAAGAGAGAATAAGAGAATGAGAGAGAGTTTGTACATAATTATTTACATGTTGTCTCCTCCATTAGACTGTGAACTCCCTGAGGGCAGGGCCCTTTTTTTGCCTTTTTTTGGTTATCTCTAGTGATCTAACACGATGTGCCTGACACATAGTCCATGCTCAGTAAATGCTTGTTGACTTAACTGTCTGCTCACTGTAAGCTTATAGTCTGGTTGGAAAGACAAGGACTATGCACAGGAAATGGAGAACCAGAAGCATGCATAAAGCATCTACTCAGCACCAAGCACTATGCCAGGTACTGTAGACACAAAGGCTGAAGCAGTCACTACCCCCAAAGAGGGAATCACAAAGTGTTTGTGCAGCAGGTGTCATGCTGAGGGCCCTTGAGTGCACACCTGACTTTCCTTAGAGTAAATCCTCGGCCCTACGTTTTTTTTCTTGTTACATCTGTCCTCAATTAAAGGAAATCCGACTCATCAATTCATTGCGCACCAGATGTAAAGGAGGCCAGTGTAGACACAGCCCCTGCTCTCAATTGGAAGTCTAGCTCACAGGTCTACAGCACTGTAATACTTACAAAGGGTTTTCCTTATAACAATCATGCGAAGGAAAGTGTGTAAAGATGTTATTTTCATTTATGTTTTACTGATGGAAAAATTGGTGCTGGGAGAGGGAAGGTGACTTGCTCAGGGTCACACAACTAGTAAACGTCAAAAGGCAGAACTTGAACCCAGGTCTTCCTATTGAAAGAACATTGTTCTCTCCACTCTTTGGAACAACCTTCTCCTCCAGGAGCCTCCAGCTCAGACGGAGGGAGAGATCAGACTAAGAGCCACTCCAATTCCTGGGGTCCTCTGCAGGCTTTTAAGCTCCAGTATATCTGCATTCCCATTGATTTTCACAACAAGCAAGACAGAGGAACATTGTCACTATAGATGGAATTGTCCATGCTGGCAGGGACCTAACCTTTGCCCCACCTCTGATGCTCGCTACCTGGGTGACTTTGGCAAGTCACTTAACCTTTATGGGACTCAGTTTCCTCCTTCGTAAAATGAGGCTTTGTGGCCTAGATCCTTGTGGCTTGCCATTGATCCCACAAACAAGAATCCAGAAAGAGTGCCTGAGACACCATCCCTGAGAAGTGGTCTCTTGTTTCTGCTTGAAGATTTTCCCGTGAAAGGAATCCACCCGTGTGGCCCATTCCCTTGTCAGACAGCTCGGATGGTTGGGAATAACACCCAGAAGCTTTAGGATTTACAATCTATTTTATGGATGTTACCTCATTTAATCCTCACAACCGGAAATAAGTGCTATTATTATCCCCATTTTATAGGTGACAGCATTGAGAAGACTTGCCCAGGGACACTCAGTCAGATGCAGGGACTGAAATCAGGTTCTTCCAACCACCAGTTCAACCTTTTTTTTTTTTTTTGCAATCAGGGTTAAGTAACTTGCCCAGGGTCACACAGCTAGTAAGTGTCTGAGGTCGAATTTTAACTCAGGTCCTTCCGACTCCACTGCACCACCTAATTGCCCCTCAAGTTCAATCTTCTTAACCACTGCTCCACTTTCCCCATCCCTTGTTATTGTTGTCTGTTCTTCTTTCTCAAAGAGGACTATGACATTAGGCAGGTGATGCCATGATTTGCAAGTGAATTGAATTTAAGTGAGGGAGGGCTGTGCAAGTCACCGGCCTCGCTTTGTCTTCTGGAGCCGTCTGGGTCTGGTGGGATATAGGTCAGGATGACTGGAGATGGCCCTCTTCCCCCTTATATGGATTAATCTGAACTCTCCGTCTCAGCAATTTCCACTGACTGCTCCCAGCTTTGTCCTCTGGGGCCGGCAAGAACAAATTTAATCTCTCTTCCACATGATAGCCCTGTAGATAACAACCTACATTTCCAAAGACATTTTAAGGTTTGCAAAAGCTCTTCCCTCACAACAACCGAGTGAGACAGGCCAATATATTAGTATCATTATCCTCCATTTTGCATTTGAGGAAATTGAGGCCCAGAGTGATTAAGGGATTTACCCATCAGGTTCCTACAGCTCCTGAATGTCTAAGCCAGTTCAAACCCAGGAATCACAGGATCACAGATGAATAAATAAAAGGAACTTCAGAGGTCAGAAATTCCAAACTCTTCATTTTGCAGATGAGGAAACCGAGGTCTACAGAATTTAATTGAACTGACCAAAGAGGCCACACAAGTGGATTTGAACCCAGGTCCTCAGACCCAATTCAGCATCTTTTCCACCAGACTCCAATAATTTCTCTACTGGAGGCAGCGTGGTGTAGTTGCTGGAGTGCCCGACTTTGAGTAAAGAGACCTGGGTCAAATTCCCTTTTTAGGTGTGTGATCATGGACAAGTCACTCAACTGAGCTTTAGCTTTCTAATCTGTGAAATGGGAATAATAATGCTTGCACTATCCCCTCCTCCTAAATTGTTGTGGGTAAAGCATTTTGGTTTTTTAAATAAGTGTTACTGATATCTTTGAGGGGTTTTTACATTACCGAAATTTTCTCCAGCATTCCTCCCCATCCCCATTCCATAAATATAGGATTTAACAAACTTACATGTCTTAAAAATGCAAGCAATTACTATAGTATACTGCTTATTAAACCAAACTGCCTCTGTGATCAATGCAGATGACAACTGGTCATATCTCTTTTAGGGTTTGCAAAGCTGTGCCCTCAAAATAGAATTAATAAATAGAACCGCATGCTGTTGTGAAAAAGATTCTTATGCCTAGGTATCACAGGTATCACTATCTTCCTTTCGCTGTTGTGTTCAAGTCTTCATGACCCCATTTTGGGGTTTTCTTGGTAAAGATACTGGAGTAGCTTGCCATTTCCTTCTCCAACTCATTTTCTAGATGAGGAAACTGAGGCAAACAGGGTGAAGTGACTTGCCCAGGGTCACACAGCTAGTTCTGAGGCTGGATTTGAACTCAGGTCTTCCTGCCTGCAGGCCTGGCCCTCTATGCACTGCGCCACCTAGCAGGTTCAGAGAACATTAAGGGACTTGCCTTTTTGTAAGTGTATGGGGCAGAATTTGAACCCAAGTTTCTCCTGACTCCACACTCTGTCACACTGCATGGCATGGTATAGATTCAAGGTAGCAGATTTAAAGGAATCTTCCAAACAGTCAGACATCACCTGGTATTAGTCAGAAACCCTAAGGGTATGGAATCATTCAAGCTTCCATTAAGTAAGAGAAAGCAGAGGGATAAAATTGATCACAGGAGACCTCCCCCTGCCTCCCCCCAGGTAGATGACAGGTAGATGTGTGGGTCATAGGCCTGTACCCCTTCCCCCACCCCACTGCTGCCCTACCTGTCTTTTGGTGGTCTCAGCTTGTGGATGACAGAAAGATGCCAGTGGTACTGATGCTGCTTCCTGAATGTCCAAGTATACCACCATCAAGTTAGAACCTGGGGTCCTTTCCACGATGAGCAGGAGGGTACTACCCCATAGCCACCCAAACCATCACAACCTTATCCTCTTCCACTCCCACCTCCTAAGGAATGCTTGCTCAAAACAGGCCAGGCTCAAGCTTAGGAGAAGCTCAGTCCACTGGATTGGAAGCTCCTAGTGGACTCTTTTCTCTCCTGCTCTCCAGAGCATTTGGCTCACAGGGCTTGGCCTCAAGTGTTTGCGGCCAGGCTGGCTGAGCTCCCCAGCTGGGTCCCGACACTCCCAGTTCTACCCGTCCTTGCACTGTTTTTTTCCCCAGCCTGCCTCTCCTCCACCTAACTCCCCCATAAGCTCACTTCCACGGAACTCATGGACTGCAGCGGAGGGCCTGATGTGGTCCCTTCTTTAGGCCCTGTGCCTGATGAACTTACTAAGAGGTAGGAGATAACATCTGAAGTTTTAGATTCCCACATAGGGCACTAAAAGGAAGGCGCTCCCACCCCCAAAGCAGATGCCTAGGCTGTTAAGCCAGTCCTACCCGTCCTGCATTTAATGTCCCTTGGGGAACAAGATTTTGTCCCAAGAGGTGAATGTAGCTAGGTACAGAGGACAGAAGAGACAGTTGCCAGTTATGATTTGGGAGGAGTGGGAGCAATTGATCTGAGCAGGGAGATCCAGCTCCCGTCTTTATCTGATGCGGATGACATGGGCCCCCACTTTCAGGAACCCCACCTTCCCCTAGCCTGAGCCTTTAGAGGAATTGCCAGTCTGAGTCCTAAAGGAAAAAAACCCAACTTTAATGTACTTTTCGGTGGCCCCACCTAGAGGGGGGGAAAGGGAGCATCCGTTTATCTGGACCGGCTTTGGGCAGGGGTCATTCAGTTCTCTCAAGGCTCCTGGTCAGAACTGTTCCATTCCTTTCCCATGCCTTCCCCCAGGGAGTCCCTGGAGCCCAGGGACGCTGGAACTTCCTAATCTTTCTCTCATCCCCCACCAGAGGCTTTCCCTGCCCCCTCCCCTGGAGGCACCTGGGACAACTCTTCCTAAGCGTGTGGTTCTTGCTGTCTATCTGTTTGTCTCTTGGGAGCCCAGCTTTGAGCTAGGTGAAGCCGCGAGACGCTGGCTCCCTTCTGCACCCTCACAACCCTTCCCCCCCGCGCTGCGTCCCTGGCTGCAGGTACTGGCCCTAGAGTAGTAGTGCACACGGCGGTCCAGGGGCGGTCAAGGCGCTCTTTGCAGCCGGTCCCCCTACATCTCACGTCCCCCACCCCACCCCACACACCCCTCCCCCCCGCGGGTCTTTGCACACGACGCGCCGGCAGCAGAGGTTTCACGAGCAGTAGCCCGCCAGGGATAAAGCACAGCAGGCGCGGGACGCGGGAGGCAGCTGCTGAGACGGAAAAGGCGTCCTGCGCGAACTGGCCCACTCGGGATCCGGCCCGGGGGGCCAGGGGCACGCAAGCGCACGACGAACTTCCCGAGTGGGGCTTCTAGGGGGCACGAGTGAGGCGCCGAGAGCGCATGGAGCCCACGGAGAAGCGGTACCTGTTGGACGTCAAAACTGGAGGCCGGTAAATCAGGAGCAGAAGCGCGCCTGGGGTGGAGGGGGGTGGGGGAGAAGACGCGCTCTCCCCACCTCTCCGGCTGCATCTCATCCTGCCTGTCCCGCCTCTTGGACCTCAGCTGACCTGCCGCCAAGATTTTTCAGCTGGTGTCGGGTGTCACTGGTTAGGGGAGGTCTGCGTTGCACCATCCGCACGCACCCCCTGGTTTGTCCTGCGGGGTAGGCGCGGGCCGCTCACTAAGAGATAAAGTGATAAAAACTGCCAGAGGCGGCTGGGAAGGGCGTGCGGGGCAAGTTCGGGAAGGGGCTGGGAGCCGGGGGGGGGGGGGGAGGAGAAAGAGAGAGACAGACCGGGAAGAGAGAGAGGGAGAGAGAGGGAGAGGGAGGGAGAGGGAGAGAGAAGAGTGGGGGAAGACAGGATGCAGATGCTACACCCTCTCTTTCACTCCCCCACCTAAGGATGAGGAGGAGGTGGTAGGAGCCCCACCCCCCATCTGGTCTCCCCGCTTCAGTGCTTCTGTCTGAGTTCTGCCTTCAAGTCACCAGATGTATGGGGTGGGGTGGGGGTGGGGGAAGAAGGCTGGAGGAGAACCATTTTAATCTGTAGGCCCTTTCTCTTTCCGGTGAGGGGAGTAGGTAGGAGATTGCAGCAGTGGCCTCATACCCTGAGGGCTCTTTCTCTTGGTGCAGAACCCTGGGGAGGAAGGGCACTGTAATTCCCTTACATCCCCCCAACCGAGGAAGCTCAGCCTGCTAGGCCTCTTCTCCTGTCTGCCTCCCTCAGGCACAATCATAGAATCCCAGAACCCTAAATGTCAGTCGACTGACCCTTAAAAATGCAGAATGTCGAAGTCTGAAAAGATTTTAGAAGCCATCTAACATTCTCTCTCTGTCTGTCTCTCTCATTTTACAAAGGAGTAAAACTGAGGACCAAGACAGGGGACAGGACTTGTTCCACAGGATTATCTAGATGGTGATAGATAGCATAATAGAGACCTGGATTCTGTTTCTTCCCTCTTTTTGCCTTGACTTCCTTCTTTGAACTAGAGGATCTTCCAGCACTGCCAGTTTGTGACCTCTCTTCCCCGACGTGCTGCTACCCTTATACGTGTTGTCTCCCCACTCCCCTTAGAATGTGAGCCCTTTAAAAATGGAGACTGTTTCCACTCTACCTTGTGCATCCCTAGTACTTAACCCAGGAAGCACACAGTTAACAATTGCTCATTCATTCATTCATCCTAAGCATTCCAACCCTTGGGGATGGAATAGGATGGGGCCCTTATTCTCTACCCAGGTCATACTCTGGAGCTCCTTGGCAGAATGGGGCCAGCCCAACTCCCTTGCCTGAGCCTGGTCTGGATCTGCAGGCCATTGGACTTGACTCCCAGAGCAATCAACACTGCCATGCTCAGCAGGGCCTCGGTGACCCTTATGACTGCCAGAAGGAGAGGGCCCGGCGACAATTGTATGTAGCATCCATCATCTGCTTTGTCTTCATAATCGGAGAAGTTGTGGGTAAGGAGCAAAGTGGGCTTCTTGGGCAGGTTCTGCCATCTGTGCTGATGGAAGAAAGCAGTGGGGAGGGGTGGGGGAATAACCCTAATAGGTAGACACTGGATTTCAATGGAACCCCATGTTAGCCAGCTAGGAAAGGAGCTGTATGATAACAAGCCACCTTCGTGAGTAGCAGGAAAGGAGGATCGGCCAAAGGTTCTAGGCTTAAGGCCCAACTAAGGGTTTCCTCGACCCCCATTTCTCTTGTCGTACAGGGGGTTACCTGGCCCATAGCTTGGCCGTCATGACAGATGCAGCTCACCTGCTTACTGACTTTGCCAGCATGCTCATCAGCCTCTTCTCTCTCTGGATGTCCTCCCGGCCGGCAACCAAGACCATGAGCTTTGGCTGGCATCGAGCAGGTGAGGGACGATTGAGTTGGGGCTTTAGCATTGGTTAGTCTATCCACCCCACCCCAGGGCACTGTCTGTGGGCAGAATTTTGTGCTGGCCCAGGGGGGTAGGAATGGGACCTAAAGGAAGGAAGGAATCACAGAGGCACAGAACGGTATAGTTAAAATAAGGAGCCTTAGAATATAGAGTCAGAGCTAGGAGAGGTCTCAGAACAGAGAAGGTCAGAGCTGGAAGTCACCTTAAAAGAGAGAATGTTAGAGCTGAAGCCTAGAAAGGGGGAGTGAATCACCCATAGTCAAATAGCAGACTTGACCTTTACCCTCAGGGAGTCTCATCTGACAAGGAAGATGAACTCCCCTGCCAGGAGACATAGTGACCTACAAGATCAAATGAATCTAAGATTAACTATGTTTCTGCATATTTGAGGGGAAGTGGCAAGGTGGACTGTCCAAAGCCAGGTAGGAAATGTCTCAGAGACTTATTAACGTGTCTTGGATTTGGCCCCTTGGGGAGCTACGAAGTCCCTTGCACTCCAGTTGTCCTTCTTTATTGGGTACATTAATTCACTAGCTCCCACAGCGGATGTAACAAAGTGTCAGTTTTCCCACCTGTAAAATGATGGATTTGGACAAGAAGATAGTCAAGAACCCTTCCAGCTTTAACATGCTGTGTTCTAATGTTCTCTGCATTCATGTTCTAACATTCTAGATTCTGAATCCTTTCAGTTTTGAGATTCTGTGTTCTAATCTCAGATGACCATTTAATTTTAATAAGTTTTATAGTCCCTCCTGTCACTAACAATTTTATGAATCGTTTGTAAGCAGTGAAAGGTGATAAGGGGGTCATTCCTGGTACTTAGTCTTGGCCAGTGGGCCCCATTTTAAAGTGTCTTCACTCTGTTTTAAAGGACCCCATTGCCTACCCCTAACAAAACAGTCTGTGGAATTGTTCACTAATTATCAGTGTCTGGGATGGGGTTTGCTTCTCAGAGATCTTGGGAGCTCTGCTGTCAGTGCTGTCCATCTGGGTGGTGACTGGGGTCCTCGTATATCTGGCGGTTCAGCGTCTGGTCTCTGGAGACTATGAGATTGAAGGTGGGGCTATGCTGATCACTTCAGGCTGTGCTGTAGCGGTGAATATCATGTAAGTCTGGGCCCCACCATTGCACCACCCTCCCCATCCAATCAATCCATCAGTCACTGATCCCTGTCCCTGGGAGGGAGAATGGAAGGAGGAATTTGATCACATGTTGAAGAGACAAATCCCTCCCATTTTATGTGTGTTGGAGGTTTCTAGTAAAAAAAAATGGGCCAGGCTTTATCCCTGAACTCTGGACTTTCCATCCTGGAGTGACTTTCAGCTTCATACTCCCCTGTATCTGGCTGTGAACCTTCCCATTCCTGGGATTTATTCCTTTCTTAGAGACCCCAGTTCATAACCTGGGGCCACTGGACAGGTCCACTCTTTATTAAAGTGCAGGGAATACATTTCAGGTAGGACTCACCTTCTCTAGATCCATCCCTATACTTCCAGCCAGCAGCCCTTTCCCAAACGGCTACCTGGAACACTTAGCATGAAGCCAGACAGCTAGTGATCTTAGCCAGCTCTGAGGAGAAAGAGTATCCCATCTGGGGAGATGGTGTGCTATGATGGAAAAAGCCCTGTATCTGAAGGCAGAGGACTGGACTTCCAACCCCACCTCTGCCACTTATAGCTGTGTGACTTTGGGCATGCCGTTCCATGAGCCTCAGTTTCCTCAATTGTAAAATGAGGCGGTTGGATTAGGTAGTCTTTGAGGCTCCTTCCAGTCCTAGATCTAGTCTGTTTTTTAGGGTATGGGGCAAGAATTGATTTTTCTTAATGTTTGAATATTTTTAAGTCCTTGAAGTCAGGAGGCCCTGAGTTCAAATCCAGCCTCATACTTACTAGTTGTGTGACCCTGGACAAGTCACTTAACCCCAATAGCCTAAAAAAAAAAAAGGAATCTCCCCCCAAATTCTAATAATAGCTCACATTTATATAGAGCTTTAAGGTTTACAAAGCTGTTTACATATACCTTACTTGCTCCGAACTGGGTTGCATAAAGCTGGTCTCATTTCTTCAACAAACATTAATTAATACCTGCTGTACTGAGGGAGAAAGCACTGCTTCCCTAAGGAATGATCCTTGCCCTCCTCCAGTTGGTAGAAAGCAGAAAGAACTAGAGACCAGGAGTCAGTAGACCTGTGTTCCAGATGTAGCTCTGCCACTAACTCAACGGCTCAAATAATTTCCCCCAATCTTGCCTCAGTTTCCTCCTCCATAAAATGAGTCAATTGGTCTCTAAGTCTTCTTCCAGCCGGATGGCCTACAAGTGCGGCCCTTTGACTTAATCCAAACTTCACACAACAAATCCCCTTAATAAAAGGATTTGTTTTGTAAAACTTGGACTTGGTCAAAAGTCCAAATCCAAGGACCTAGAAGGCTACATGTGGCCTCAAGGCCACTGGAGGACAGAGGGCTAGCTTTGGAGTTAGGAGACTGAATTCAAACCCTGCCTCAGATACTTACTCAGCTGTATGACCTGGGGCAAGTAAAGGGAAATAAAAATCTTTCCCAGCTTCCAGGATTGTTGTGAGGATGGACTGAGATAATCATGGAAAGTGCTTTGCAAATCCTAGAGCGATAAACACTAGCTATTTATTATTATTCCAGCTCTAAAGTTTTATGATTGATTCTATAAAACTACAATTCAACAAATCAGTGTCGATTAAGTATCCACACTATGCTAGGTGCTAGGAATTAAAGAGGAAAAATAGAGTAGTCCCTGCCCTGAAACAGGGTCTGATTCTCTCTGTGTCTCTGTCTTTGTGTCTCTCTCTCTTCCTCTCCATCTTCCCCTCTCTCCCCTGTTCTTTGCCCTCTTCTCCTCAATCCCTTCTCCCCTCTCCCCTTCCCTTCTCTCTCTCTCTTCCTTCTTTTCCTCACTCCCTTCCCCTTCTCTTTCTCTATTGTTTTTTAAATGGATACATTTTGCTAATTCCTAACTAGTACCCAAATACCACACTCTCATCACATTCCCCAATAAAGCATATTCTCCCCAAAGAGTTAAGCAGTACATCCTGATTGCAACTGCTAGTATGTGTCACTTTTCACTTTTATGGTTTACTG